TGACGTGCCCATACCCAAATAGACCAATCCGTGGAGCTCCTCACACACACACTCTCTCAGCGGCGAAACTGTGACACGCTGGGGGGGGGGTGCTAGTGGAGTCTCGCAGCGGCGAAACTGTGGCACGCTTACACTGTAGGTGTGCCGCGTTTGGGGGTGCGGGGGGGGTGCGGGTGCTAGTGGAGCCTCGCAGATGGGGGTGCTGCAGCCCCCTCAGCANACTGGTGTCATTTTCTGGTTGACAACGCCATTGTAACACATAATCACTGATTTTCCGCTGTAACGGTGGTGGATTCATCAGAACAGAGTGGGCGAGCTGTCAGCTCGCCCACTCTGTTCTGATGAATCCACCACCGTTACAGCGGAAAATCAGTGATTATGTGTTACAATGGCGTTGTCAACCAGAAAATGACACCAGTAATGACAAACAGATGATAATGCTGCGTGGGGTCTGGGTGCCGTGTTGACGGGACGTTGCGGGGCTCGCTGCTGCGAAGAGCGGACAGTAGGGCTGAACGATATATCGTGTCATGGCGATAACCGCGATATTCACATCGCAGGGACATGCAACTTTTTTTTTTTTTAGTACGTTCGATATTAAGTAGGTAAATTAACTCAAACACGTAATGTTACAATTATTTTGCTGCCTGCTACAAAAGGAAAACTTGCTCGGCTCTCATGTCAGGGGTACTTGAGTGAGTGAAATGCAGGCTCTGCATGCACAGCAAACCACCAATCACAATCATTCTCGATCAGATCACAGCAGGCCCCGCCCCGCTATTTTGCAGACCATCAAAACACCGGTGCTGAGGGGGCTGCAGCACCCCCATCTGCGAGGCTCCACTAGCACCCGCAAACTTCCACTTCTAATCGAATTCAACGACCCGACTGACACTTCAACATAAAACCTTTGAGACTGTATGAGGATGTTTTATACGGTCGATGACTGCTGACTCTTCTAACCTAGGGGCCAAAATAGATCACTAACAACTGCTTTAGTAGAACAATAAACAATCCTTATCAACACTGTTTCACGACACATTTCGTCCTCGCCGTGGCTCAAAAACTGACATCCAATGAAAAGTTTGGTCTCATTTTGAACCGGAGCATCCGCAAATTCATTCTATAATCGCTATGCTACAATCCACTAAAGTTAAGAACGATACAACATGAATAAATCCTTGTTTTTGTAATCTTTTGGGAGGGAAAATTAAGTGAGATTGAAATATTTGTTATTCATTTCGGAGGGGAGAGGGAGACACACCTGCAGGAGAGATCTACTCTCCTCTGAGGTGACCTGCTTGCACTGTTTATAACATGAGAGTTTCTATGTTGCTTTGACTAACTATCACCTCATGAACTCCGTGTGTCCGGCGGCGGGCTTCTGCGAGCTGAGCGTCCTCATGTGCTCCGTCCTGTAGCTGAGCTGCACACAGGTGGACAGCTTACTGCTCAGGAAGCGCAGCGGGGACAGACTGAAGACCCTGCAGGAGAAACATACAACATAAGGATGATGTTTGAAGTGTGCTGCCTCAGATTGTCAGTCAGTCACATTAACATTTGCAGAACTGTGGTGATACAATTTGGTTGTCGACTAATTGATCAATTAGTAGAACATTTTAAAGACTTAAAGGTGGGGTAGGTAAGTTTGAGAAACCGGCTCGAGATACACTTTTTTTTATATTCCATGGAATGCTCTTAACATCCATAAAAATGTTTCATCTGAAGCCGTAGTACTGTAAAAAGCACGACCAATC